CCCCCCACTCCTCCCTCGCTCGCTCTTCCTACCCTCCATCGTCTCACGTGTCGCCGATCAGGATGGGATCAGAAGTCGCGGGTCCTCGACCACGCCCCGCTACGCCCTTTGCGCGCGCCAACGTGCCACCGGGCGCGCCGAGCGGGGCGGGGCCGTGAGGGGCGGGGTGGGGTGCGGCGGCGGGCCGATCAAGCCCCAGGGGGTTCACGCTGGGCACCGCTCGTTCGCTTGTCGCCATCGTGCGCCGGGCGCGCGCGCGCCTGCTCCCTGAGAGGCAAACTCAGACGGCGTCACTCAGTCAGTTGTCGGATGACCGAGGTTGCGGCCGCAAGTCCTCCGTCCCCGCCCTCTCCCCCTCGAGCCTTCCGCGCAGACGATCTCTTCGGGTCCTGCTTGTTCCGAAGTGTTCGGCCACTCGGGTTGCTCCTCGGCGGCCCGGCTCCCCCCTATCGCGCGCGCGCGCCCCGTCGCGCAGCTCTCGCGGTAGCCATGGACGCTGTGCACCAGCACCACTACCACGGGCACCCCTCCGTGTTGCACCCGCACAGGTACGGGGTTGTAGTGTGTGTCAGGGCCTCGGATACGATCTGCATCGCCGTGCCCCCTCGTTTGTTATTGTGCTGCGATCCGCCCGCAATTCAGCTTGTTGGGTCTGTGCCCGAGTGCCCGGTGCCCGTCGCCTGTGCCCGGCTTGCGCCCGGGGCGGCACGGGGCGGCACCCTCCGCTGGCGCTCATTGACACACTGAAGGAGTTACGGTCTCTGATATTGTGTTGTTGTTCTGCCCCGCAGCAGCAGCAATGCCATCCTCAACGCCACTGCGGCGCCCGCGCTCGCGGACGGCGTCGGCGACCACACGCTGGTGGCCAAGGTGACGGCCATGGCGGTGCTGGGGCTGGCGTCCCTCACGCTCGGCCTGCTGCCTCTCAAGCTGGCCGTCTGGCTGGGCTGGGACCGGCAGGCGACGCGCAAGCCCGCGTCTGCGGCTGGAGCGGCCGAGGCACTGCACAGGTAAGTGTCCCCCGGCGCCGGTGGAGCATCTCTCGGCATCGACGTCGCTGAACGCGACAGTTTGTGATGGAGTACATGTCCTGCCCGCAGTCACGGCAGCCCTGCCGGTGGAGGCGGCGCGCTGCTCTCGGTGCTGCTGTGCTTCGGCGGCGGCGTGCTCATGTGCACCACGTTCGTGCACATGCTGCCCGAGGTGACGGAGGCCTTCAGCGAGCTCGAGGAGGACGGCAGCGTCACGGGCTCGCTCGCGCACACGGCGCCGCACCTGCTCATGTGCGCCGGCTTCTTCATCATGTACCTCGTCGAGGAGCTGGTGCACATGTACCTGCACTGGCGCAGCCACAAGCACGGCCACAGTCACGGTAAGTACTTACGCGTACTTACCACGGTAAGTACTTACACGTACTTACCACGGTAAGTACTTACACGTACTTACGTGCGTACGTCCCGACTAGTCGCGTGCGTCCTCAGCTCCGCCAACTACGTTAGTGCATCGCGTGGTATACCACACCACCCCTCTGCACCTAGAAAAATGAAAAGTTGTCACAGCCATCGTATGGTTACTTCAGGGACAACCATAAAGTGACGGTTGAGGTAACGTTAAAATTGTTCTGTAAAAATAGTTCCGACGTTCCGACAACTTTAGGATTTTTAAATTTTTTAACAATATTAAAGTTGTCCCTGAAGTAACCACTCGATGGTTGACACGACTTTCCATTTTTCTGGGTGGGCAAGGCAACGGCTGACACATCTCTTGCACGGGAGCAACGTGCGCTATCTGATCAGGTGTTGCGGAGCCATAGGGAAATCCCAAAAGATTAGACCTGCACTGGTTTGCTGACGTAAATTGACGCGCCCTTTCTGCCCGTCCACTCCAAACTTCAACTTTGATTAATTATCCCACTCGAGATAAAAACCAAACTAACAGCGAGTCCTTGGTTCTTCCTCTCTAGGGGACCACGAGCACGCGACCGGTGCCGGCGACGCCCGCAACTCGGTGATCCACAACAACCTGGCCAACGTCGCGGTGGTGGCCAACGACGCCGAGGACATCAAGAAGTCCCCGATCAAGTCGCTGAAATGGAGCGCGCGCGAGTGCAAGCCCTCCACGGTCGTCCTCGAGTACTCCGACGGCACAGAGGTCAAGTCTGAGGTGAGCCATGACAATCAATCGAAAATACACGCCCTCCGGCCTCGAGGAGTTGGCGAGCAAACACACCTCGTGTATTTGCCCGTAAAGTCATTAATCATCGATACGCTTTCAATCGCCTTGACGCGGCGCGAGCCGGAGCGTGGCATGCCCCCGCGGTAGGCACGCCCCCGCTGAAGTGAAGGCACGTCCGCGCGGTTTGTCACCTGCTGCTCCACGCCCGACGCCAGGAGGCGGACCGAATCTGTTTGTCTGCAGGTTGCTGCTGCTGCTGGTGTCTGAGACGCTGACGCTCTATGCAAAAATAAAAATACTTGATGACCATTGCGAAACGGCAGAGTGTTTGGCATGACGTACGGCTATGGTGGCTGGTGTGGTGCAAGGATGTTGCCGACGACCGCGACCTGTCGAGTGTTTTTGTTTCCGTCGCGCTGATGTTGTAGTTCGTTTCACTCATCCCTTGCTCTGCTCTCGGCCGCAGGTGCCCAACGAGTTCCTCGTGTCGGCCGTCACCTTCTCGACGCCGTGGGGGCTGCAGCAGACGCCGGCCGCGGAGAAGCAGTACCTGCGCGTGGACGCGGAGCGGCCGTGCCGCAAGGGCGTGCCCCGCCTGCGCCGCATGTCGGCGCTCTGCCACAAGGTGCACCACGACCACACCCTGGAGCCCGAGCTCGTCTCCGCCAACCTGCCCGACTTCATGGCCGGCGCCAACCACCACTCGCACGCCATCCCCGTGTCGGGCGCGGCCGAGCCGGACCCGGAGAGCGGCGACGACGCCGTGGTGAGCGCCATGCGCGGCCTGCTCATCGTGCTGGCCCTCTCGGTGCACGAGCTGTTCGAGGGGCTCGCCGTCGGGCTGGAGGGCTCGACCAGCAACGTGTGGTACATGCTCATGGCCGTGGCCTGCCACAAGCTGGTCATCGCCTTCTGCATCGGCGTGGAGCTGGTGGCCATGCGCACCAAAATGCCCCTGCACATCCTCTACGTCGCCACCTTCGCGCTCGTGTCGCCGCTTGGCATCGGCGTCGGCATCCTCGTCACGGCCAGGTGAGGACTCGTCCACGAACCTGATCCCGGGGGATGTCACAGACCAGAGCATGGTCACACTCGGTTATGTTTGTCGTCTTACCTTCAACTGTCTAACTTGTGCTGCAGCTACGCTGGCGTGGAGGGAGGAGTGGTGCCCGCATTCCTGCAGGGTCTCGCTACCGGCACGCTGCTCTACGTCGTCTTCTTCGAGATCCTGGAGCGCCAGCGCGCCTGTGGACACTCCGGCCTTCGTCAGTATCTCGCTGTGCTTCTTGGATTCCTCGTCATGTTTGGTCTCACTTTTATCGGTAAGTTTTCTAAGAAGCAAAAGTCCTATTTAATAAGGCTTTACATTATGATTCAGCATGACAACCCCCACCTTTCTCGCAGGTGGTCATGAACACCATCACCATCACCATGACGGCGAAACCTCTGACCAACTACTCTCCAACCAGAACTACACTGTTTTGCACACTGAATGAATTGAAGACTCAATATCGTTATATCTAATCATAGGTCCCTAAGTTTTAAGTTAATATTTTTAGCTAACTGTCTGCAATCAATCAATTGTAAAATCTGAATATTTGCAAAAAGCTGTCATGTAAATTTTCTAGCTAACTATTTAGCCAAAATTGATGTTAAGCTAACTATATTTTTGAACTAAATTGAACCAAGAATCTCTGACAAAGATACCCTTTTTTAAAGTATTAAGGGGCATCAAAGATGAGGTGGTTGACTAGAAAAACAAATGAGGCTACTAGCATTCCTTTAAGGACATAACAAGCAACTGTGCATGAATATTTCAATTTGAACTCAGCGAGTCTCATGTACAAAAATAAATTCTATTTGTCGAAACGTGTCTGTGATATTAACAAAGATACTATTTTGACAGAGCATTAAAGATAACATGTGTTTTGTCTGCATGTTCGTATGAGAAATGACAAAGCTACATCTTTCTGTCTAGTTGCCTTGAAGACTTTAGTAGTATCTATGTCCTAAAAAGTCTGATTTAGTATCTAAGTCTTGAAGTTTATACCTACATACTGTCCTCTAAATAAATATAGATTTATTAATGAACCGTTATTGCTTTTGTGGTAAAAACAAACTCTACTTTTTCCATGTACTCGTACTTGTTCATTATCTACAAGTAACAGACTGAAATTCACCCATAATGCTGGATTTACGATGGAGCTTTTATCCAAGTCCTAAAACCCATGAGAAGTCTCATGATCCATGGGGCATCATGGGAGGGCATGAGAGGCAGTACTCCATATGATGCCATTTCGCACTGATTTTTGGAAGCTTTCACATGGGTGGAATCTATCCCTAGGAGGGACACCACCCACTGTCCTATGATAAGTCGCCATTGTCTAAATGTAAACGTTACAAAGTTTGAAGTGTATAGCAAGTCTGATTGAAGTGATAAGACTATGTATGTGGGATATCAGAATGGAAGCGCACGTCCCTATTTGTGGCTACAATGTCGGCGGCCAGAATCAGCTTAATCTGACCCAACTATAGAAAATTCTTTTTCGGGGATGAGGAAAGTACTCCCCCATTTTTGAAAACTTTTTGTTCTGGTGAGAAGAGAGGGGCGGGAGCATTTCCGATGCCGAGCGGACTTATTTCTACAGTCGGTTTTGATAAAGCTGCCAGTGGCCGTGTCGGTTGTAGCAACAACTCTGTAGCCACAAACAAGGACGTGGCCCCCGAACCGTTCGTACTGCGTGGGGGATGCTGGGGCAAGTTGTGGCTGAGGGCGCCTGGGAGGTAGGCCAGCCCGCCGCCAGGCAGCCCTGGGTGTTGGCCCCGTAGGCCCCCGACCCGACTCGTTCGTACTGTGAGGGTGACCCTTGCGGCGAGTTGTGGATGAGGGCGCCAGGACGGTAGGCAATCAGTACACAGGCTGTCCCTTCGGTTTGGGGCTGTCAAAATAAGGTACGGTTTGGGCGACCGACCGACCGTCAACCTCGGAACGACCAGGACGTCTGAAATATCGTGTTCGGGGATTTTCTCGCACGCTGAGTCCAAATCTGTTAGTGCAGATGTCGTCCGGGTCCCCGGGGACGTCATTTGGGACCTTCCGATCACGCCGATGACACTCCCACGACAAATACGATTCGGCTCCAAACGTCGTGTACACACGGGCTGGTGCATATTTCTTAAAAGTCGCCAAATATCATTATTATTAGTAGCAAATCGCCCATAATAGTTTATTATTATCCTGATCATTTCACTATTGTCACTTGGCACTTCCCTGGCGTTGCCGCCTGGAGCCACACAATGATGCACGGAACGGGAAGCATCCCCAAAGGATCACATCCTGGACAAGCGAGGCGGGATTGCCTACCCCAGGAAGGAATCACATCCCGCGACCACGATATGCCGGTGAGTGTGCCGTAATTATTGCTCTCCCCCCTTGCCGTGCCGCGTCCCCTACCCCACTCCTCCTCCCCACCCCCACCGCGCATTTCCCGCGCCTTTATGGAAACGTAAACAAACAGTGTCACGATCGACGTTTCTGCCAAATACCGATAATACTTACTATATCATATAATTATTGATCATAGGATTTTAACCAGAATTTTAGAGTGGACATCGCCGCTCTTCGTTATTAATCGCAAGGTATAGTGCTCACTTGTTTCCGGTCCGGAATATTGAATTGTCCCATTCCGGTTATTGTTGTAGGAGGTTATGCTCCTGTGTCTCAATCTTTACACGCACAATTAAGTTGTTAGTTATTTTTTGAGGCCGAGTACCATGCCCGTGATGTAAATAACTTGGCTCACTGTCAGCTTTGTTGAAAAGGTGTTGAATGGGTAGACTCCTCCAATCCATGCAGTATGTTAAATACTGTTGTAGGTCCTTATGCATGCAAATGGGTGAACCTGCCAGTGTTTTATCACATATCATATATTTTACTCTATTTTATTCTCACGGAACAGAAAACTTAATTACTTTCTGATTGGGGTGCAAACCGAGTGGTACTATTTGCGTAATCCCCCAAA